GACTACAAAAACAAAAAAAAAAAAAAAAAAAAAAAAAAAAAAAAAAAAAAAAAAAAAAAAAAGGGACTGATGATATAGCTCAAGGGTAGAGGGCTTGACTAACATGTGTGAGGCTCACAGTTTAGTCTCCAGCACCTCAAAAGTTAAAAATATAGTAACAAAGAAACACTTTGTAAGTTATGAAGAAATTACTACACTCAAACAGTGTCTGCTGTGAAGCCTGGAGCTAGACTATTTGTGGTGGTTCATCTGTGTCCTGTCAGCTTCCCTCTGGTTCCCCCACACCCTCTTAGAGAGAAGGCATCTGAACCCATGTACCCTCAAGGCAGTGGCTGTAGTTGGCTCACAAGTGCCCCCTCTGCCCTCTGCCCTAGGCGACCGAAACACCCAGGTAGAAACTCACAGGAAAATTTCAGTGATTTTTGTTCTAAGTCCAATTTGCTTCCAGATATGAGTTTACAGTATCAGTCCACCAGAGAAAACTTGTTGAACAGATTCTACAGTCTCAACCTCTCAAATCCCAGACAGACTTTAGGACAATAATAGGCCTATGTTAGTGTCTTAGCATGTAGTTAAAGTGGTTAAAATCTTTTGTGGTCCAGTAGCTAATGCCTGTAATCCGAGCACTTAGGAGGCTGAGATAGGAGGATTGCTTTGAGTTCAAGAACTATATTTTGGAGAACACACAGCAGACAGACAGACAGACAGACAGACAGACACACACACACACACACACACACACACACACACACACACTGAGCACACCAAAAAAAGGTATTAAAATGTAATGCATGGGGGGGGGGACTCGAGAGATAGTTCAGTGGTTGAGAGTACTGGCTGATCTTCCAGAGACCTGGGCTCAATTCCCAGCACCCACATGGCAGCTCACAACTGTCTGTAACTCCGGTTCCAGGGGATCTAGCACCTTCATACAGACATGCATACAAGAAAAAACACCAATGCACATGAAATAAAAATAAATTGTTGTTTTTAAAAAATGCAATGCATGGGCATGAGGTCTGAGGCTTATCATCTGTGTTGTCTTGGACGAGCCACTTGTCTGGGACTTAACTGGTTTTGTCATCCAGAAAACAGAGGCAGCTGCCTCTGTTCTTCCTGAATGGCATCAGGGATGAAACCTGGGTGTGAGACAGCTCTGGGTGACGGTGAGGGACCATTGTCCAAACAGGATGACTTCTGTATCCACCAGATTGTGAGGAACTGTTGTACCCACCAGCCTGCCTGCCCTGCTGTTATGAAGATTCACCAGGGCCCTGGCATCCTTCCCTCTCTCCAGGCTGTCCACGAAGACTCTGGAGATCTGTTCCCCAAATTCAATGTTGTCGCTGCAGCCTCCCCAGATCCAGCCATGGCCACCTACACACGGGGAAAGAAAGAGTTCCGCATACAATGCTCAGATAGAGTCAAGGGAAAGAGCCACGTTCTGTTTAGTCAACAGCTAAACCATCCCCAAGAGCCCGGATATGCTAGAACTGTGTATGTCTGAAGGTGAGGCAGAGAAATGGAAGTACTTGGGGAGCATGGGGGGGGTCATTTTCCCAAAGCCCACTCTGAGCATTTCTCAGCTCTAAGTGGTAAGCCCTCTGTGCCTACAGGAAACGTGGGTGCATGTGTTGATCTGGATGGCCTCAGAGGTTCTTTGTAGCTCAAACATTCTGGACCTCTGTACCTGCACAATAGTGTCAGGGGCCCCTCTACCCTCATTAGTGACAGGCCTAAGTCTGGTAGGGGTCTATAAATAGTTGGGGAGCTTTGGCTGGGGACACATTATTCTTGTACCAGGCTTGGTCTTTGACTTTCTCATTCCTGGTCTCAGGGATGCAAACTCAACCCTCAGCAATCCATGAACTCCCCTTCATGAAAGGACGGCTAGAATCTAGGGATTCAAGAGAACCGAGTGCCCTAGACTTGAGAAAACTCCGTCTGCACTCAGCTCTGTAGCTCCCCACCTCTTCCCACCTCCATCAAAGCCCAAGTTACCTGCTTTTCCATTTTTTGACCCATCGCAACCACAGTTTTCAAAGTCACCCATGCTGCAGTTCTTGGTGATGATATACACAACTCCAGCAGAGCGGATGGCGTGAATGAAGGATGACTCCCTTGTGGCTTTGGAGAGAAAGAGGGGCCAGACTAGAAATGTGGCTTGTTGTGGCCCAAAGCAGGAGCCTTGGGCAAACATCGATGTTTGGCTGCTCTTGCCCCACCTCCTCAGGATTTAAGGTACACTTTTCCCTCAGAGCTCACTGTGTCTTTTCACCCTCCTCACTTCATCCAGGCAGGAATGGGCATCCCACACTACAGATGGGGAAACTGAAGCTCAGGGAAGCCTGAAGCGAAGGGTACTGGCCAGGTGTGGTTTTGAATCAGGATTCTGCTCTCCTGAAGTCCAGACCTCTGTCCTCTAGTATATTGACCCAGCCACAAGGCTGGAGTAGGCAATCAAGAAAGACCTCTTATTTCTGAACACAGAGTAAGGAGGCCACACATAGATAGCATGTGTGCATAGGGATACATGTGCCTGCAGGTGTGATGTGGTGTGTGTGTGTGTGTGTGTGTGTGTGTGTGTGTGTGTGCATGCACACACATGTACATATGGACACATGTGACTGTGTGTGTAGAGAGGCCCAAGTTGGACATCAGGTGTCTTCCTCTATTGGGCTGTCTCACTTTCACAGGGTCTCTCACAGAATCTGGAGCTCACTGGCTGCTCAGTAAGGCCCTGGAATCCTCCCTCCTGTCTCAGGGTTACAGAAGTGTGCCAGCACACCCTCATCCTTGAGCAGCAAGCACTTTGTCCCCTGAACCATGTTCTAGACCCTCGAGGTCTTGTTTTACAAACACCTCCTAGTCTACCTGCATGATCCACAGCGAGGAAGCTCTTCCTGCCCTTCTCCTTTGTCCCCCAACTCTTCTCAGCAACTCTGTTGTTTCTACAAAAGGTCTCTCATGCAAATTCCTACATCCAATTGTAAGCATGTGTGCACACGTGTGCGCTGCAAGTGAGTGCACACACAAATACATATACACCCATACGCACACATGTACACGACTATATATACCACACAAACTACACACACCACACACACATGCACACAGATACATATACACTACACACATAAATACACGTGCACACATATCACACACACGTAAATACATATACATCAAACATGCACACACCTAACACAACATACATAAACACACATCACACACACATACACACAAACACACACATCACACACATATTTATACACCATACACACATAAACATATACATCACAAGGCATGCACATCATACATGCATATAAACACACATACACAAATCACACATATGTACCCCCACACATATCACACACACACACACACACACACATGCACACTCACACACATACACACACACCTTCTAAAACAGGGGAAACCAGAAAACCAACCAAACAACTCTACTCTGGCCCTAAGAACAGTATGTTGCTTGCAAAATCTGAAAGCAGAACTAAGTGGCCCTCTTACTGTTCAGGAATAGAACTGTTTCACTTTACATTTACGACTACAGACATGAAAGGATATTCAACACCACCTAGAAGGGCTACTACTCTATTTCCTACTCTGAGCTTTTCATGTCTCCTCAAACCTGTAACAAATCTATTTTTACGACCTATGATATGCTCAGTTAAAGACCAACTTCACTGAGAATATAAAAGCACTTGGATTTCCAGGTACAACAGGATAGATACACATATGAACTCATAACTCAAGGTCTAGCCAGAGAAAAATTCCAGCAGAGGGAGGGAGGGTGTGCATGTGTGTGTGAGTGTGTGTATGTGTGTGAGTGTGTGTGTGTGTGTGTGT